GGTAGCTGTTTACGGTGGCTAGCCCTGGGACCGTTGGAGCACGAAACCACCTGTAGGCCCTATGTTGTGTATTCTGTTCGTGTGTGTAGGTCTGTAACAGCTGTTGTGTCCGATGTTTGTGTGTTTACAGAGGTGGTGATAAAAATTCTGTATGTTAAAAACGATGGAGAGCTGATGTGTTGTGTCGGTGGTGATCGTTGTTGTGATGGCCATAGTCGATGTGCGCCCTAACCCGATACTGGTACTGTTGTGTGTGTGGAAACAACAAAATGATAATGTCTGTATTTATGTGTGATGCACATTGTATACCAGTAGTGTCGAATTCACTAGAATAATTGGTGTAGGTTAGGTTAGGGCGCACATCGAGCCAAACCTCACGAGCTTTGCTCGTGATGGTTTGGCGATGTCCCGGAGGAGTGCACTTCAAGCCAAACCTCACGAGCTATGCTCGTGATGGTTTGGCGAGGTCCCGGAGGACGCACTTCCCAGGCGAAGCGACCTCAGCCATCCGTGAATCGATAATTTGTAGTCGAGCAGTTGGCACTCATGGTGGCCGTAATTGATGAATTGCGTTACGGTTCACGTCTGCAAAAATCGCAATGTTAGCATAGAAAATGGCCCTCTTCTCGATTTTCGATATTGGATCGGTGGTTGTTCTGGAGGCCAGCCAGAAATCGTTTCGCAGACGGTTGAGCATCGGGCAATCATTGATCAGGTGTGGCACATCCTGGACCGGGAAGCCGCAGATACAGGCAATATCGTATGAAATTCCGAATCTGGCCAAGTAGCTCCCAAACTGGCCATGTCCAGTTAGGGTCTGCGTAAGGAACCTGTTGATCACCCTGGAAAATTGTCTAGCGTCGCCCAGCTGTGGACAAATTGTTTTAATGGTGGTTCCAAACCTGTCATTTGTATATTTGTTATTCCATTCGGCCAGCATATTCCTTCGTTCCAACTTTTTGATGACATTCATCTGAATTCGGTCGTAATCATAATTCCTGTTCCGGTGCTTGCCGGTTCGTCTAGCCAATTGTTTCAAATTACGATACCATCTATTTTCTCGATCAACTTTATGCCACATAATCGTGATGTTGTTGTTTGCCATTGTGGTGATGATGTTAGCCAGCCGTTGTGTCTTTCGATGGTCGGTACGCTTTAGATGTTGGACAGTGCCGATGTTGTTTGTCATGATGTACGTTGCTTGTTGACCCAGATTTACGGATGACCATTCAATTGCCATAGAAATACAAAAGAAATCAGCCTGTTGCAAAGTACAATAGACTGGTAGCCGATAACTTTTGGTGATGATTCGATTATTTTGATTAAAGGCCATAAAAGCCGTTCCAATACCATGGTTTGTTAAAATCGATTTCATGAAGATTCTGATTGGAGGAAATACGGCCGGTTCACGTAAAATGAAATTGATTCGTACATCAGCGGATGTCTCTCTCACTTCTTCAATATCGACCGGTATATCAGAATCAAGATGGCTGTATAGCTTGGTCACTCTAGCATTTACAACTGTTGCACGATAATTGATCAGTAGGTCGATTAGTGGGAAATCAGCTATGGCTGAAGTGGCAATGATCGGTGCTGTTCGGTATGCCATGGTGGCTTTTTGTGCCATTGGTTTGAGCATTTGTCGAAGTTCTTTGATCACGTGTTGATATTGCACAGCTCGACGCGTAACGACGGCTCCATATGTGATAATGGGCTCGATGATACAGTGATGGATGAGCTGGAGCACGCGTGGTCCAAGGCCATATGTTTTACGTGCAATTGAATTGACCGCCCTGTAAACTTTGACCGCTTTTGAGACGGCATAGTGTATATGTGGCCGATAATCTAGTCGGTGATCAAAAATTACGCCAAGAATTTTCATTTGTTCAACCGGTTTGATTTCGATGCCATTCATGATTACCGGGCTATAGATTGGCCTATTGATTCTCCTGGTGACGAACATCACTTGTGTCTTGGCTTCAGAGAAGGTCAATTTGCATTTAGCTCCCCATTCATATGCCAATTTTAAGACATTATTGATTTTTATCGGCAAATACGTTTGACATTTACTCGATACGATAATGGCAATGTCGTCCGCATACGCCTGCATTTTAATGTCGGGACCCAGATTTTTCATCAGTAAATTGTTCACCACAATATTCCAGTTTAGTGGGCCCAACATTGAACCCTGGACGACACCACGGTTTGTTTCTTTGCAGAATGATACCCCGCCATGGCTTCCACAAATTCTTCTATCCATTTGGTAATTGGCCATTGTTTTTATCAAGTATATGGGCGTCCTGTAATCGATCAACTGGCTTATTATGAAAGGATGCCAGGCATGATCAAATGCCCCTCTGATGTCCAACGAAATTAGAGCCACATGATTGTTGGATGCCATAGCCGATTCGATGTCCCTGTTCAAATTATAAACAGCATGGTCTGTGGACCTACCTGCAACGAAACCAAACTGGCTTGTTGACAGATGCCCATTATTCAACAGGTGGCCAGAAATTCTGTTTGCTATGATTCGTTCGAAGGCCTTTCCCATTGTTGATAAGAGACCAATTGGTCTATAGGCATTTGTCTTTGAATAATCGTCCTTGCCAGGTTTTGGAATGATTCGAACAATGGCCGTTTTCCACACGTATGGCATATAATTCAGCCTTAGACAAGCATTATAGATGGCAAGAAGAATTTCCGGAAATGATATCCACAGGTTTTTCAAAATTTTCGGTGAAATTCCGTCATAACCAGGTGCTGTACCGTCTTTGAATTTCGTGATTGCTCTATGTAGTTCATGCATCGATATTGGCGGTGGTGAGATAACGGTGTGGTTTTTTCGTAACCAGAGATCGATATAGCGACGTAAAGATTTTTGTTCATCAGTATCGTTGTCAATGTCATCGGTGGGAAATAGAGCATCGACCAGTTTGATTGTGGATTCAGCCGGACTATTTGTTCCATCAATAGTTTTGACAATCACGTGGCCACTGTTTTTAATAAGACGGGAGACTTTCTGAAAACAGTTCGCTTGTCCTTCCCCGTTTATGTGTTTGTCAAATGCTTTGAATTTCAGATTTTGAAGATGATCCCTATATTGTTGCCGCAGTTGTTGGTATTCATTCTTGTATCGTTGAAGAGCCAGCTGATTGTAACATTGGCGAATTTTTCGATATACTTGACGCTGTTTGATCACAATTTGTCGAAGCTCGTTATCTTTATGCCAGGTATCACATCTAGTTCTTTTATTGATATATTTCGCACAGAATTTATCGCATGTTTGCTGGACAATGTTGGTGAAGATGGCGATGACAAGGTCCAGTTGTTGACGGTCATCAATGCTGTCGATATCGTCACAGGTAATACTATGGCCATCTAGCCCGTTACCAATCTCTGATGACCAAGCAGACCAATCTATATTGGCTGTACTCCACCTGACCGTCGTTCCACTGTCTGAGGATGTTAATCTGATATTGTTTATAACAGTGATTATTGGTCGATGGTCACTATTGTGGATGTCATCTCTAACTGTCCAATTTTTGACTTTATCATTGAGATTCTGTGATACCAGGGTGAGATCTATGAAAGACGTCAGTCGTCGGTTGCCACGCGTTGTGTCAAATGTCGGTTTGATGCCATCATTCAAGATGCACAGGTCATTCTGGATAATTGATGCCAACAATTCTTCTCCTCTTTCATCGTTTATAGGCCCCCAGAAAGTTGATTTGGCGTTAAAATCGCCAGCGACCAATAATCTTTTGTTGTGAGCATATTGCACAAGATTGTCTAGATTTCTAATGGTTGGCTCGATTGCTACACCTGGTTGTGAATATACGGAGGCGATAATAAAGCCGTTTATCTCGATGACAACAAAATCGGTATATGACAGTGATGATATTATAATTGGTGTGATCATTGGATTGAAAATTAAGATACAGCTTCGAACTGGCAAACAAACATTGGACGTTGGTGGATTATTGTTAATTGGCTGATTAGACGATACATGTTGAGTGGCAGACGGCAAACATTGGAAGAATGATCAACAAGTGGCGATGGTTGAATGCTTGGCACCTGGTTGACGGACACTGGCGGAGCACAAGAATTTGGTTGAGCACATGACACATTAACCGTTGGCACATGGTGGACGTTTGGTTGACACACTAGTGGATCGCTTGGCACCTGGTTGGTTAACGCTGGCGGGGCACAAGGATCTGGCTGAACATATGACATATGAACAGTCGGCACTTGGTGACTACTTTGTTGACACACCTGTGGATCACTTGGCACCTGGTTGATAAACACTGGCGGGGCACAAGGATCTGGTTGAACACATGACATATGAACAGCCGGCACTTGGTGACTACTTTGTTGGCACACCTGTGGATCACTTGGCACCTGGTTGGTAAACACTGGCGGGGCACAAGGATCTGGTTGAACATATGACACATGGTGGACACCTGACACATGATTGACACAAGATGGTTGATGGTGAGTACTTGACGATTGATTGGAACTAGACACATGGATGGCACTTTGAATTTGGCTGACACTTGGTATATAAGACAACGATGGAGTTTGAGAGACAGGAAGTGAATGACTAGCAACAGACAGGTGGGATGAGTTGGTGATGGATATGAAAGAATTGGTGGCATATATTGGACGGTATTTTTTGTCAATGTTTGGAATATTGTTACGGATGGGAGGCTCAGACACAAGAGCAATGTCGATTTTGTTTTTGTCACAGAAGTTAAGAAATTGGCTGAGTGCACTGGGGGACTTGTTGCAGTTGATTTGCGCGATTATAGCTGGTTCAGATTGGATTGTTGATTGAGCGTAGTTATACATCGAGGCTGTATTGAACTTTGTCGGCTATGCGTTGTAGCATTCTAGCATATATTGGACATGATTTTGAAATGCTGTTGTGGTTACACGGATCGTTGAAGCCAGATTTTCGGCAGTTAACACATCTCGGTGGTCTCATTTTGTTTGGACAGTCATCGCCGGACATGGCCAGCATGAATAATATCATAATAATAAAAAATAAAATACAAAGAAAAATGAAAATAGAACAATCAGAATTTGAAAAAAAAAAAAAAAAAAAAAAAAAATAAAATGATCATATAGGGTGTGTCCGATGTTTGTGTGTGTATGTGATGGATTATGTGTTTTACATGAGATCGGTGAGCCGGTAAGATAATTGTTGGTGGTCAAATTTGGTAAAATTATATTTTTTTTGTTTCTCGTAGGCGACTGTGCTGCCATCTGGTTTTTTGGAAAGGAATCAAAAATTTTTGTTCATTGTATTATTGGTGATGAGATCGGATATATCATGTTTTTCGCCTACAAAAACAATAAAAATAAAAAATGATCATTAAGAATGTGTCCGATGTTTTTGTGTGTATATGTTGGATTATGTGTATTGCATGTGTTCGGTGAGCCAGTAGGATGATTGGTGGTGGTGAAATTTGGTAAAATTATATTTTTTTTGTCTCTCATAGGCGAATGTGCTGCCATCTGGTTTTTTGAAAATCAATTAATTCCTTGCTCGTTGTTTCTGTTGATGGTGACCAAGTGCGAATGCGGCAAATGGTGGTAGATGGATCAGCAGCGGATAATGATGGTGGATGACGACGCTGATGATCGAAGCCAGGAATGATTGGACCAAGAGGCCAAAACAATGATGATGGGGCCAGACCAATGATATGGATAGCCAGATGATGAGAGCGATCCAACAGGAGGATCGTGTAGCCAATGATGATAGGGAAGGGAAATGGTGGGATGAATGGATGATGATATGGTGATTGAAGATGAGATTGTTTCAATACCATGTAAACAAACTTTTAGCATAAACAAACACGAAAATTTTCAGACTTCTGCTCAAAGAAAATTTCGACTAGCAAGTTGTCAACACAAAAAGTTTTGTTTATATATGCAGCCAAGACAAAAAAAAAAAATCTTTTGTGTCTTATCATTAATCAGTGTTGACATTGATAGAGGCACAGAATGAACACATATTGCTGGTGATGATGTTGAGAAATCAATGATGATGGTAATGTCAAAGTTGATGTTGATGGTAACAAACAAAATTAATTCAAGTTGAGCAGCGTGTTCGATTGAATGTACACACATAGTTAGAGCACATTTTCCGTTGTATATGTGTGAGCAGCTAAAACTATGTTGACTTAATTGGCTGACTTGTGTGGTAATGGATGTGCATGTTCAATACAGTGGTGTTTACATTAATGCTGCTAGTGAATTGTGATGAGCAGATTTGTGTATTTTGTTTGTGTTAATTCATAGATGACATATACAATGTTTACATTTTTGTTTACTATGGTGAAAAACAAGGACAATGGATTTGGTGAAATGTTTCAAAATCTTGGTATGTATCATTAATTCATCATGTATAATAATCACAATAACATTTTTAATTTATGGTGTATCATCACAGCATAAGATCAGAACTCTCGGTTCGTAAATCGACAACAATGATTGGTCGTAGATAATTAATGGATCACAGGCTGGTCAATACTGTTTGGCTATTGGTTTCATTGTTCATTAAATAAATGCACATTGGCACAGCGTACATGGAATCGATTGCTGAAACTGTTGACTAGTTGTTTTCATTATGGTTGAAACAAATAAATCGATATGTCAATGAAATATTGGTGAAGAAATCCATCGATTGGCTAGTTGATTATCATTTTGTTGGTTCAAATTATGCTCACTGGCACACACTCAATCACTTAAATTATGTTGTGTTTATGATGACGATGATGAATTGATGAATAAATAAATAAATTAATGAATAAATAATAAAAAGAAGAATTTCATAAAAGAAGATCACGAATATAAAATTGATGGTGGCGGTGGTGGAATAAATTAAGAATAAATAGAAGAATTCATTGATCACAGGTTTAAAATTAATGTTGTGTTGGTTCGATGATGATGATGAATTGAAAATAAATAAATAAAAACTTGGTTCATAAAATCTGATTCATAAAACAGGATTAGTGATGATGATGGTCCTGATGAATCGAGTTGTGTAATTGATCGGCCATTATTGCTATTTGTTCATATAAAATTACTTCCATTTTAGTTCGATCAATAATATTCACACATGATGATATGGCCAATGAATAATGATAACGTAGGCGGCCAGTAAGTGGACAATCAAATCGTAGGTGATGAACAGATTGGATATCGTGGCCACATTGACAGGTTTGATCATCAGAGAATCCGAATCGATATAAAAACTGACCAAATTGGCCATGACCAGTTAGACTTTGTGACAGCCAAAATGAAACGTAGGGGGCAAAACGTCTGGCATCATTCAGATGTGGGCATAGCGTTTTAATTGTGGTGCCAGCTGGATCATTATCATAGACGGTTGACCAATTATTGTACATGTTGATTTTTTCTTGCCGCTTTACAAATGATAATGGTGCACTTTGATATGAGACGTTACGACGATGATTGTTTGCCGTTACTGTTGCTTTTTTTCTCAGCTTTCGTTGGATAGGATCATTTCTGTCGACTTTTTTCCAGCAGATGATAATGTTATCATTTGTCGATCTAATAATTGATTCAGCAAGCTCAGACTTCTTTTTGTTGTTCTTTTTTACAACGTGCTGAAGTGCCCCAATGTTGTTGCATATGATAGTGGTGGCTGAATAATCCAAGTGGTTGTCAATGATCCAACGAATTGCGAGATGAATGGTGAATAGATCCGCCTGTAGGATGGAACAATGATTTGGTAGCCGATGGGTGACCGTCGTAATTAGTTGATCACCGAAGAACGCCATAAATACACAACCGATGCCCAAGGTTCGTTTGATTGATTTTATAAATATTTGCCTGTTAGTAGTGGGAAATGGTTGACGGTTGATGATGTTCGGTGGCGGTAATAATTCATTTATATTGGCACAATATTTGTCCAAAACAATTTCATTGTCATTATGCCGATATTTTCCAGTGATGCGTGCAATCGTAACATTGGCAACATATTCAATGACAAGATCCAATGGTGGTGAATTGCTGATGGCGGTGATGGCGATGAATGAGGCCGTGGAATATGATTTCGTGATTAATTGCACCATTGGTTTTAATGTTCGCCGTAGTTCCAGTTTCATATATTGATATTGGATTGCCCGTTTCCATACATGACAGCCGTAGGTGATCGTTGGTAAAAAGACACAATTTAATAATAGATGGGCCGTTTTTGGTCCGAGGCCATATGTCTTTTGTGCAATCGTCATTATTTTCTTGAATACACGGGCGGCTTTCTCTAATGTTTTATGTACGTGTGGTCGGTAATCAAGTTTACGATCGAATGTAACGCCCAATATTTTAATGTCCTCAACCGGGGTAACAGCCATATTATTCATGGAAACTGGCGGATAGGTGGGTGATCGAATTCGCCTGGACATGTACATTAGCTTAGTTTTTGTTTCAGAAAACGTGAGCTTGACATTTTGACCCCAACAATAGGCCATCTGCATGATGTCATTAACAATCACATTGAAATATGCACGAGAATTGCAGGAGACAATCATTGTGACATCGTCCGCGAATGCTTGGACATGAACATCTTGGCCAAAGTTGATACGGAGAAATTGATCAATAATAATATTCCACAACAGTGGACCCAATACCGATCCTTGGACTGTACCCCGGTTGGTCTTTTTTCCCGCTGTTACACCACCAAATGTTGTTAATATGTGCCGGTCATCAAGGTAATCACATAAGAGAAATATCAAATACGGTGGCACTTTCATGAGAATCATTCGTTTTATTAATGATGGATGCCAGGCATGGTCAAACGCGCCACGGATATCCAAAGAGATTAAAGCCGTGTTTTCATTTTTTCGCATTGATTCATCCAATGATTTGTCGATCGTGTATAATGCATGGTCCGTTGATTTTCCCGCCATGAATCCATATTGTTGTTCAGAAATTAATTTATTTGTCACCAGGTATCCACGAAGGCGGCGTTCAATTATTCGTTCCAAAGTTCGGGCAAACACAGATATGAGACCAATAGGTCGGTAACTGTTGGGTACCGTATAATCATCCTTTAATGGCTTGGGCAAGATTCGAATCACTGATATCTTCCATAAGTACGGCACATGTTTCAATTTCAAACATTGATTGTAGATGGCGACAGCAATATCAATAAAATTGGCCACGAATTGTTTACAAATAATGGGGGCTAAACCATCAAAACCAGGTGATGTGTTGTTGTTGAATTTGGTGATGGCATTTATCAGTTCACGATCGGTAACCGGATGGAATGGTGTTTCATCATTACGGTGGATATTGGACCAATTATTAACCTGACGGCGGATATATTTTTGTTGTTGTGTATCATCATCAATGTTGTCATCTGGAAAGAGGTAATCGAGCAATAGTTTAACGGTGGAAGGTGGATCGGCGCTATTGGCTAGTGTACGTGCTGGCAAGGTGTCATGATGTTTCAAAAAATGGCACATATTATAATAATTGTTCACACTGTTATCACCACGAAATTGTTGTCTAAGATGATCATCTTTTAATTGTTGTAGTCGTTGTCGATATTGATGTCGTGATTGTTGATGTTGTTCGATTAATGCTGTTCGTTGATTGATATCACGGGATCTCCTAATGCGGCGGTACAGCGACTTTTGTAAATGTAAAAGTTCACGGAGATGGCCATCATTGTGCCACGGATGCCGTTTAATTCGTCGACGATTGTACCGCCGCATAGTTGTATCACAAGCTTGTTGTATGGTGGTGGTCACAAAAGAAACGAGAAAATCAAGATCAAATTTGTTGTTGATATCACGAATATGTTCACAGGTTATATTGTTGTTCACAAATTTGTCATTAATAATGGTTGACCACTGGTCCCAGTTAACATTGTTGGTGTTCCATTTTATTGTTGTGGTGATATCTGGTGAGGTGGGAACAGAAAAATTTATATCGAATGTGATGATACGATGGTCACTAATTTCAAGATTGTCAACAACATTCCAATTGTGCACTGATGATGATAATGATGATGATGTTGTTGTCAAGTCAATATGTGACGTTAGGTGGCGATTACGACGGAATGTATTAAAAGTGGGTGTTGGACAATTGTTAATAACCACAAGATTATGTTGAATGATGGTTGCAAGAAGAGAATCGCCACGTATATCATTAAAATTGGAATACCAGTATCGATTTGATGAATTAAAATCACCAGCTATTAAAATATTTGACCGATGAGATGATGACATAAGATGATCAATCTTGTGGAGTGTGTCACTGATATCACAATTTGGATTAGAATAAACCGATGAAATAATAAGATCGCCAATTTGGCACACAATAAAATCATTTGATGAAAAATCACTTAAAATCATTGGATTTAACCGTTTGTTTAAAATGCACACACATGCTCTGACAATCGAATTTGTGTTTGTATGATGAAAAATTGGCACGATTGATGATGGAAAATTTGGCAATTGTTTTTTAATTGGCGGCTCACTGACAATCATAATGTCAACATGATGTTCATTACAGTAATCGATGAAACTTGTTAATGATGATGGTGACTTGTGTGTGTTCAATTGGGCGAATTTAAGATGATCGATTTGGTGAACTTGGTGATTGTCAGTATTGAATTTTATTGATTACCCGAGATAGCAGGCGGATGTGGACTGGACATTCCCGATTAACGCTGTTGTGTGGTGTGGCATTGGTGATGTTCGAGCGAATGCAATTTAAACAGATTGCTGGTGATGATTTTCTTGGGCACTGGTTGAAGCTGTGGAAATCACCACAGTGGAGACACATTTGATCGGGTACTTGACATTCACCAATTTTATGATTGTACCCATAGCACTTGTAGCATTGCATCACTGGTGTCATATCTTCGATATGGGTGGTTTGATAATCGATGATGATTTTATTTTTCATTTGTTGAATGATGATGTCACGCAATTTCGGGTTAACACGTACCGCAAAATTACGAAGACCAGGTTTACGATTTGGCCGTACATAAACTGGTTGGATTTCATTTTCAATGTTCAAATTATTTTTCGTAATAAAATCAGAAATCAAATGGTTAAATGGCTTGATCATATTTGGCAGCTGTTCCTTTTCAATACGGCTACTGGCGCCTTTAATTATCATCATTGGATTCATAATACGTGGTGGTTCGTGGGTGAGTTCGGATGTAGAGGCAATTTTTTCTTCAAATTTATGCAAACTTTCGGGACTGGTGAAATCAATGGCAACTTTTCCTTTCGATAGCTTTCGTGAATCAACAATATTTATTCCTTCATTGACGGGTACAATTCTGGTGGTTAAAACTTGTCGTGTGGTTTCAGAATCCTCATTTCCAGGGATGGATACAATTGTTCGGTGGATTGGTGTTTGGTTGGCCGAGTGTTGCTTGATCACTTCACTAAATGTCTTCTGTGGCTGTTGTTGAGCTGGTGGTCGTTGTGGTGTTGATGTTGATGCCAAGTTGATATTATTTTGTACGAGCATTGTTAGTTTGCTGATTGCCGATTTCATTTCATTGATTTCTTTTTTAAAATTGGTAGGTTCAGTTGCACTACTGTCAATATTGTCGAATTCCATAATGTCAATATCACTTTCTTCGAGGACATCCCTCTTTCGCTTTATTGATTCGGCCAAGCGTTTTCGTAGGATAAGAACCTCTTTGTACATGGCTTCAGCTATGGATAGAGACTTCAAGACATCTCGTTTATGTTCCGTTTTAAGATTACCGGCTAAACCATTGACCATTTTGTATGTGGTGTTGATGAATTTTGCATCGGCATCAGTGGTATATTTCGGGCGTTCCCAGGATTGTAGATTGGAGCTCGTACTTGCTTTGTTGATATTACAAATGGGATCGGTAATCATTTCTTCGACACTTGGTTCAGTACGATGCGTACGTGTGATATGTGGCAGACGTGATGGTGGTGGATTCTTTGGTTTTTCTTTTTGTTTAGACGTTTGGTCACGCATATTATCCAGTTCGCTCTCGGAATCATCAAAAATAGTAATCGGTATGGTTTCATCGATTATTGAAGCGACATCATTTGTATCCATGTTATCGTCCGTGGAATTTGGCTTCAAGATTTTCTTTTGTTTGCCCGCAGTAGCCATGAGCAGACTGGGGAGAATATAGACCGATGCTACGAATGAATAAACAGTGACAGATTATTTCTAATGATATGAATGAAATGATAACAGAAAAACCGGAAATTGAAACAGCAACCAATGATGGTGACCAAGTGCGAATGCGGCAAATGGTGGTAGATGGATCAGCAGCGGATAATGATGGTGGATGACGACGCTGATGATCGAAGCCAGGAATGATTGGACCAAGAGGCCAAAACAATGATGATGGGGCCAGACCAATGATATGGATAGCCAGATGATGAGAGCGATCCAACAGGAGGATCGTGTAGCCAATGATGATAGGGAAGGGAAATGGTGGGATGAATGGATGATGATATGGTGATTGAAGATGAGATTGTTTCAATACCATGTAAACAAACTTTTAGCATAAACAAACACGAAAATTTTCAGACTTCTGCTCAAAGAAAATTTCGACTAGCAAGTTGTCAACACAAAAAGTTTTGTTTATATATGCAGCCAAGACAAAAAAAAAATCTTTTGTGTCTTATCATTAATCAGTGTTGACATTGATAGAGGCACAGAATGAACACATATTGCTGGTGATGATGTTGAGAAATCAATGATGATGGTAATGTCAAAGTTGATGTTGATGGTAACAAACAAAATTAATTCAAGTTGAGCAGCGTGTTCGATTGAATGTACACACATAGTTAGAGCACATTTTCCGTTGTATATGTGTGAGCAGCTAAAACTATGTTGACTTAATTGGCTGACTTGTGTGGTAATGGATGTGCATGTTCAATACAGTGGTGTTTACATTAATGCTGCTAGTGAATTGTGATGAGCAGATTTGTGTATTTTGTTTGTGTTAATTCATAGATGACGTATACAATGTTTACATTTTTGTTTACTATGGTAAAAACAAGGACAATGGATTTGGTGAAATGTTTCAAAATCTTGGTATGTATCATTAATTCATCATGTATAATAATCACAATAACATTTTTAATTTATGGTGTATCATCACAGCATCGACAACAATCATTGGTCGTAGACAATTGATGGATCACAGGCTGGTTGATATTGTTTGACCAGTGATTTCATTGTTCATTAAATAAATGCACATTGGCACAGCGTACATGGAATCGATTGCTGAAACTGTTGACTAGTTGTTTTCATTATGGTTGAAACAAATAAATCGATATGTCAATGAAATATTGGTGAAGAAATCCATCGATTGGCTAGTTGATTATCATTTTGTTGGTTCAAATTACGCTCACTGGCACAGCGTACACTCAATCACTTAAATTATGTTGTGTTTATGATGACGATGATGAATTGATAAATAAATAAATAAATTAATGAATAAATAATAAAAAGAAGAATTTCATAAAAGAAGATCACGAATATAAAATTGATGGTGGCGGTGGTGGAATAAATTAAGAATAAATAGAAGAATTCATTGATCACAGGTTTAAAATTAATGTTGTGTTGGTTCGATGATGATGATGAATTGAAAATAAATAAATAAAAACTTGGTTCATAAAATCTGATTCATAAAACAGGATTAGTGATGATGATGGTCCTGATGAATCGAGTTGTGTAATTGATCGGCCATTATTGCTATTTGTTCATATAAAATTACTTCCATTTTAGTTCGATCAATAATATTAACACATGATGATATGGCCAATGAATAATGATAACGTAGGCGGCCAGTAAGTGGACAATCAAATCGTAGGTGATGAACAGATTGGATATCGTGGCCACATTGATGCCAGGATTTTAATTCGATGTGTTTTATAACAGGTTTGACTGTGATTAATTTGTCTGTGATATTTAATGTTCAGTTTTTGCCATTGTTGATTAATTGATTTATTTTTCAGAATTATTTTCATTTGGATTATTTGTCGTGGAATTTGAAGAAGATGACCGTTTTGGCTTGAAAACAAAACGTCGGCTGCCGATATATACGTTAAAGATATGTTATTTTGTTATGATAATTTTACTAATTGTTTTTATTTCATAGTTGACATGAGTTGACCAGATTTTTAATACGACGGATTCAAGACAACAGAGTGGATTATTATGGACCATTTGGCGGAAGCTTACAATACACAATAGATTTATCAAATTTTAGGATTTTTCAATTTGTAGTATTAACCAATTGTAGATTTATCAAATTTTAGGATTTTCTAATTATAGCATTAACCAATTGTAGAATTATCAAATTTTCATTTCTGACCAATACTGGTGATACCAATAATCAATTCGGGCTGTTCGACTACCGTAAATGATAAAGATAACAAAGTTGGCCTAGACACCTGTCACTGATGTTGCTACGAATACACGGACCATCTATATATAATTTATATTTTTCAAGGCCAAAAATTCGATGATTTCATGTAAAATATAACAGGCATAACTATTGTATATTTTCCCCAGTATAGGTCGATACCCGATTTGTGTCATAATCAACAAATTGAATGTGGCATTAAGCCAGCATTGGATGGATACAGATGATTGCCATAAACAAACAGATGACAAAATACTACGCTTCTAGCGTGTTGACCATCATATCATTAGCTAGTACTGCTATCAGTTGTCCGTGTTGTGTTGTGATTCAAAATTTTCACGTATATTCTGGCGCGAAGACTGGCTTCAGATTTGTCGTAAAGGCCAATTGTTGTAATAATCGGGCATTTGATACTTCATTAATTAGCCAATAACAATACTACAGCGGCATCGCAACAGTGGTTATTTACGGAGACCATCCTGGGAAACTGTTGGAGCACATGACATCATTTGGCCCTTGTTGTGTTCTTTGTGCGTGTGTGTATGTGTCTGTACAATTGTTGTGTTCAGTGTTGGTGTATGACAATTCATGTATAAAATCTGTTGGTAAAAATCGATGGTGTGTAAAAAGAAGAAAAAAAGAAATACTGTTGTGTTGATGATCATGCTGCTGGATTGAAATGATATAATATGTTATGGCGGTTGCAGCTGGTGTAGACAACTGCGATGACAATCTGTGAAAATTGCTATGTTGGCATAAGAGGTCGCCGTTATTTCAACTATTGATAATGGTTGGCCCCCAGTAAAGAGACTTGGCATTGAGATCACCAATTATAACTAATTTTTTACTGGAGGCATAGTTCACTAGGCTGTTGAGGCATTCAATAGTAGATTCAATTGAGCCGACTGGTTGAGAATAATCCGAAGCAAACACAAAATTGTTGATTTCAATGGTGATAAAGTCAGTATTCGACACAGATGAAATGATTATTGGAGACAAGGATGGATTGAAGATAATGATGCAGCTACGTACTGGCGTTTGTGTTGTAGATGATGGCGGATTATTTGATGGTTGTTGATTCAATGGTGGTTGCAAGACACTAGATACTTGTTGATTATTTGTGTTGGGTTGATTGACCGATGCTTGTTGATTGATTGATGCTGACCGATGATTGGAGATTGAATGATTGATTGGCCCGAGGCCGGCGCTAGGCACATGTTGCATGGCGGACACTTGTTGAACATAAGGTTGAAAAGATGATGGCAATTGTACATTTGGCACGGAAACATGAAGCTGGTTTTGTTGATGAGTGTTTGGATGATGATCACTTGAATAATGGTTCGTGGCATATAGTGGTTTAGATTTACGGCTAATATTTGGAACACCTTTTCTAATTGGTGGTTCAGTAATCATAGCAATGTCTACTTTGTTTTTGTCACAAAAATTTTGAAACTGATTCAGTGCACTTGGTGATTTATTACAATTAATCTGAGCAATTTTCGTCGTGTCGAGTTGGGAACGAGATTGGCGTTGGTTATTCATTGTTATAATATTCAACTTTGTCTGCCATACGTTGCAACATTCTGATGTAAACCGGACATGATTTATTAGTACTGTTATGGTTGGTGTCAACTTTAATACCAGTTTTACGACAATTGACACACCTTGGAGCACAAGCTTTATTGGGACACAGTTCATATTTGTGTGTCAGAGCACAATGATGACAGATTTGTTGTTCTGGTGGCAGTTGACAGGTGTTGGCTATATGATTAAAACCATAGCACCGGTAACATTGGCGGAGAGGCGACATGTCCTCAGCATGGACAAGAGCATAATCTAATATGACCTTACCGTTCATTTCATTTATCACTAAATCACGAATGGCCGGATCGATGGAAATTACGTAATTAATCAAATATTCGCTTCTGAAATTTTTCCTGTCCGAGACAACTTCCATTAGCTTTGTTATGTCAAGTTTGTTTGTTTCAACGTAATATGCTATTGGATAGTTGAAAGCTGCAAACATTGACGGTATATCTTCTTTCTTGACCTCTATACGTACACCCTTTAACATAATGGATGGCCGTAATTTACGGGGTGGCTCAGTGTTGATTTTCTTTGTTGCTTTGGCTAACGATTCAAATTTACTTTTGCTTGCTTTATCTTTGAAGTTGATGATCATTTTTCCTTTCGATAAACTTTTGGCATCCGTCATAGCAATTCCTTCTTTGGCAGGATGAATTAGTTTTGACAATGTTTGCCTTGTCACTAACGTGTCTTCATTATCAGGCAGAAAGACAACAGTTTGATGTTTCGGTGTAGATGATTTTTTATTCTCTTTGATTATTTCAGCAAACGTTAATGGTGGATTTTGTTTGTTGCTGGTGGCCTTGTTGCTTTGTTTGCTGATGATATTTGATAAGTTGTTAATGCTATTTTTAATATCATCCAGGTAAGATTTCAGTTCAGCTTTGGTCACATAATTGCTGTCATCATCATCCATAGGATCGTCTCTGGAGCACAGATCCGTATCAGTTCGTCTTCGTTTATAGGCATTAGTTAACTGTTCTTTCAAAACATTGTTTTCTTGAGATAAGCTCAATGCCAGATTGAGTGCGTCGACTACCGCTTCTTTTCTTGCTGTTGTGATGTTGCCGCCAAGTTTTGAGGCCATTTTTAAAGTTTCTTTTAGAAATTCAACATTGTTGTTTGCAGATGGCATATTGTTGACTGGTGTGGCACTTCTTGATATAGATGTCGTTATCGGTGTTGTTGTTGCTGTTGTTGCTATGTTTGTTGTAGGTGGGAGGAAATTGAATGACGCTGGTGCCGCAGATGTTGCTGCTGCATTTTGAGAATAAAACAAGCCAGGATTGAATGATGTTGGTACACTGGTGTTTGAAAATTGGGGCTGAGCTGGCTGACCATATTGATACAAGAACTGAGAATGTGGTGGCAATAATGGTTGTTGAAATGTGTGTGTTGTGGTCATTGGTTGTGAATAAGTTGTGACCGGATTTTGTTGTTGCAATTGTGATGTTGAAGCAGTGTAATTAGTCGTCATTTGTTGCGAAGAACTGGGTTGACTTATGTTGGTAATAACAGGTTGTGTGACCGATTGGAAGAGAGATGTTGGTGGCTGACCAAGCGTCAGATGTTGTTGATCCGATGTAGTTGGGATTTCAATGTGTGACATCGGTTGGTCGTCATCAACTATGGTAACTTCATCAGCTGAAGCGTGGCTAATTGATGGTGAAGCTATTGACACTCGAGCGTTACTATGGGCATGGTTGGCCGTTAATTTGTTTTTGGCCTGTCTTCGATCTGAGGATTTGTTTGAGGTACTCATGGTACCGATATGTCACACAGTTGTTATCATAAACAGAAAGGAAAGAAAAACGAAAATTAATTAGGGCAAGTACAATGTTAATAAGATAAAAGAACCGCTGCCAAGAAGAAAGCCACAAGTGGAAGACGAGCCAATAAAAATGACCGGCAGAGAGAATATGCCAAAGAACCAGCCAATCAATGAAACAGCCGGATGGAGCAGAAATGAATCCAGGCCAACGAAAACAAAAGCCAATGATGATGATGATGACCAGAAAGTACTCAACAAAAATGAAGAGAGCCAAAGTGTATAGTGTATTTGTGTGTGTGTGATATGTTTGTGTAAGCTGGTGATCGTTGAAAAACAAAAAGAAATGTTTGACGATAAAATACCATCAAAGAAAAACAATAACAAAATTTCAAAAATAAAGAAAATTTTAAACATCATAACCCTTTAGGTCGGTGATGGTTAGGTTGGGTTAGGTTAGGTTGGTTAGGTTAGGTTAGGTTGGTTGGTTTTTTTTAAAAAATAAATTTTATTTT